GCAGTTCAATCAGATACCTCTGGACATTACAAGGCCTTTCTTCTCTCTCTTTTAGGCACCAACCCTTAGCCAAAATCATTCTGCCAAGTATCAGAATTCAAATTCTCTCTTTTACGCAATCTAAGAGGCTTGAAATTAATTAGACAAAGCTTGATCGGTGGATGTAAAACAAGGTCAAAAGCTATGGCCTAAGCTGCAAGTTGTTTCTTAATCTGCTTGAAATGCAGACTGTCTCCTGCCTGGCTGGTCATACTTGAATGCATAGACTAGAGCTCTGAATTTTGTTTTGCATGTGTGGTTTAGGTTAAGACTCGTGTAATAATATGTACATGAAAATTATAAGCATCATATGTTTGTGATAAAATTAACCAGTCTACATAGGCTACCCCTCTCCCCTGTTTTTCCCTTTTCCATTTTTACCTTTGGGGCATCTAGCACACAGTCCTAAACCAATGCGATAAATAGAGGCTGCCTGCCTAATTATGCAGTAGTTTTGTGCTAGCAGTTGGTCTTCACGATCGGTTTAGCTAGTTAAATAATTAGGCATAGCATATATATATTTACTAGCGACGGATATATATATTCCAAAATTTGAACCTAAACGATTGTCAATCATTTGCTTCCTCAAATAGTTGAATTCCTTGAAAAATGGCATGCCACATTAACCAAACAAGTAGCCACCCCAAACTTAGTGATCATGATCATTGGTGAACGGCAGCTTTAAATACAATCCCATTACTTGATTAAATTTTGCATATCTGACATAATTACCTTTCCCTAGTATTTCTCTTCATTTAATCTATACTGCTCTTAATTTGCCTCCCCTTTTGAAACTGTCTCTTATTTATTATATCCTAATTAACCCCCGTCTCCTAGAAAAGCCATGGTTAGCAACTCAGCCATGGCTTGCCTTTATGAAAAAAACGTAGCTTCACGCCTTCATCTGGTATCGGTGTTTTGCATTTCTTTGGTCGTTTCCGGCTTTGCAGAGCTTCAGAGGTTTCAACACGCAACAAAAGATGATGGGTCGCTTAGCTTTTTGGTGGTTGGAGATTGGGGCAGAAGAGGGTTCTATAACCAATCCGCAGTTGCTTTACAGGTCCTTAATTAAGTCACTTTTATAATCTATATATGTTTCTGTTGTTTTTACGACTAATTAATTATATCTATTGACATGCAAGACAGATGGGAAGGATTGGAGAGCAATTAGATATAGATTTTGTTGTATCCACCGGAGATAATTTCTACGGTGATGGATTAAGGGATGTAAACGATCCAGCATTTTTGGAGTCCTTCAAGGACGTTTACACAGCTACTAGCTTGCAAAAACAGTGGTATAGTGGTAAGTTCATTAACAAAATCTCCCTCATTCTCTGTAATTCTATCACATTTGTATCAATTAAAGATTTATGCATACATCGATCATATTTGTGCAGTTTTAGGAAACCATGACTATAGGGGTGATACTGAGGCACAATTAAGCCCTGCCCTCCGAAAGATTGATAGCCGATGGCTTTGCCAGAGATCCTTTATTCTTAATACAGGTAAAATCACATTTATTTTTATTTTTCATTTTACTTGTCGCTCTAGGTTGTGTGTTTGAATTCCCTTCTTCATATCGCTCGTATATAAATAAATAAAAGACTGAAAATCAACCACCTTGATGAATTTTTACTTTCATAATTTTATGTTCTTATTTAATTTTGCATACAAATTTGGTAGGAATTGCGGAGTTCTTTTTCGTGGACACCACTCCATTTGTGAACAAATACTTGGTTGACAAAGACCATAATTATGATTGGCGAGCAGTATCTCCCCGTGGGACTTACGTCGCTAACCTTCTGCAGGTAACTACTCCCTGTTACATGTAGCATGTAACATGGGTTTTTATTCATTTATTTATGAAACACAAGAAGATCACAAAATTTTGACGATGATTATGTTGATCACTACTGTAACAAGGATTTGAAAGTGGCATTGAACAAGTCAACTGCAAAGTGGAAGATAGTCGTTGGTCACCATGCAATCAGAAGTGTTGGACATCACGGCGACACTCCGGAGCTCATACGTCTCCTCTTACCAATACTTAAGGTAATAATTTGCCCATCATTATTATATATTCGTTAATCAAAAGGCTCCGGAGATATATCAAATTATGGTTAGGGTTTGATTTTATTGTGATGACTTTCAGGCTCACAATGTTGATATGTACATGAATGGACATGACCACTGTCTGGAGCACATTAGTAGCCTCGACAGGTAGAACAACAAGAACCCTAATTAAATTAATTAGTAGATTATTAATTTCTTGAAGGAAACATGTGTCTGTATATTAATGATGGATCTAAGCCAATTTTAATTACTTTGATGAATTGCAGTCCGATTCAGTATTTAACAAGCGGCGCAGGTTCAAAGGCATGGAGAGGAGATGTTAAGAGTTATAACAATCGAGCCATGAAGTTCTTCTATGATGGCCAAGGTTTCATGTCTGTGAAACTGACCGGATCGGATGCTAAGATTGCATTCTATGATGTTTTAGGCAGGCTTTTGCACACCTGGAAGATGTCTAAGCCGCTTCACTCTACCATGTAATTATGAAGTGCTCGCCTCCCCATGGCAGAGAGGCCAACAACAATCAGGAAAGGAAAATTACAACACAGCTAGTTGATCAGTTTTGTAAATTAATTTAGTAGTTGGGGATACGCACTCTGTGTACATGTCATTATTTATTTCTAGGCTTCATGTACGTACGGGTTCTCTAGCTATATATATATATATTAATAACACAATATTTTATTCTTCTCTGATCAGTCCACATGATTTCCAACTAGTCCTTGATTTTACTTAGATCCCCAGAGAACAGCAGCCTCATATTCATAGTTATTTTGTCAAGTGATTAATAACACAGATACTTTCATTGATGATGCCCGATTTCATCTTGCTCGATGGGATCAATGTTCTCTTTCCCATGTTTCTAGATACGGCAATAACGTAGTAGCACATTGTTTGGCTCGTTTTGTGCTTTCTGTTCATAATGCTTGTTTTTGGGAGCAACCACCTAATTTTATTCAGGATATCTTGCTTGCCGACCTGTTGTAACTCGACTCGACCTATTATCAATCTTATCGCTAATTTTCATAAAATAAAATAAAATAAAAAAGGAAATAATTCATTCTGATTCATTTGCTAAGCGGGTATGATTCTGTGTTGGGGAGTCGGGGACCTTGGGTATGGAATAATGGAACATGTTGTTCTCAAATTTATTTGGATGGGCAATGGCGGAGGTAGAAATTCTATCAAGGAGGGTCAACTCTAAATAGCTTTATAATTACATTAAATTTAGTTTTTATAAGAAAATATATTTGCGAATTCATTATAATGATTAAATTTCAATATCACAAATTTAATATCTTAGTAAGCATAACTTAAATTCTAGCAACCTAAAAATAATAAAAAAGTATCAAAAGTTGATTTTAGATAAAATGAGAAAATCAAATAGAATCCATGGCGCACACATATAAATGACATATGAAGACATGCAAACAAATATAGATCTGTTCATTGTAGACAAGTTACATTTGCGAGAAGGGTCAACAGTAAATATAGTCATAAAACAACTTGGATAACATAGATAAATATAAGGTTTTCAAAATGTTGAGAAGGGTCAAGTGACCCTTGTGGGCCTTCATTGGCTTCACCAATAGCATGGTGGAATGATGAGAGTCCTGCAAAGAAATTTCGAGCTTGTTAAACTAAATGATTTTCTTAGAAATCGATCGCGATCGAGTGGAATGTATGTATGTATGTATATATAATATATAGTAATATAATAATGATATTATATACTGTGTCTCAACGTCGGATCTCCACTTGCGTTTCGGCGTCGAATCTCCACCACCATCCTTTTTATGGTTTCCTTTTGTTCAGAATAAGTCACAGAGACTCTTTGGGTTACCATGTGTAGTTTTCACCTCTCCTTGTGAGAGCTTTTCATCTCTCATTTGCAAGAGTTTTATTTGTATTGCTATGACTTGATTTTTTTCTTCTTCAAGATTTATCTCTTTTTGATTATTCTTAGTTTATAATCTTAGTTGGGATGCTTATACCAAAGTTTCTTCGATCATGTGTGATTGTTAGTGGATGCGCACCAGATTGTTTTGATTTTGATGTTCAACCGTTCTGTTATTGTAATGGCCCTTTGTGGTTAGTTTGTATTGGGCCTTTATAGATAGTTTGTATTCATCATTTGTGGCTAGTGACTTTTTTTGGCTGAATTATGAATGCAATCTTAGAATTTTTAAATAAAAAAAACACAAATGAACTAAGTTAACTTTCATATAATAATCCAAAATAAACCCATATATATGATGATATATAGATTAGATATAGGTCCACTCTGAGACAGGTAACTACTGGACCGGGGTGGTAGTTTGAAGGAATCTATTTAAAAATACTAAAATGAAAGGCACGCAGCTAACCATAACACTTTATATATATATAGTGATTACTGAACAGACAAATGCATGTGATAAAAGGTATTCTTCTGGTGGCGGTTTTTCCATCAGTTGAGTTGAGATAGACTACCCCTGGCACAGTGCGTTATTAGTGGATAAATTTCTTGTCGATTTGTGTATGATTAATCGTAAACGTCATGTGTGGCCTCGCGAACCCCATGCTCCATTATTCATTTTGATAGCCTTAGCCTTGCTATGTTGTCACCGATTCCATTTTGCCCTTTTGATATATGTAATATTATATTCTTCTTGTGAAGCAAACTATTGTCACCCTATCCAAACCAGTGAGTGCCCAAATCACACGCATCCATATCCGTTTGTTAAATCTATATGTTTGTATGCAACCCAACTCAACCATATAAAAAGACAGGGGGTTGCCTTGCTTTGCTTTGCTTTGGAGAGACCCTCCATACCATTTTAAGCTTCTTCTTTTTCCATCTCTCTGCTCTTCCCTTGTTCTTAATTAGCTAAGCCAGCTAGCTAGCTATGGAAATGAAGACCACGACTATTGCAAGTGTTTTGATCTCTGTTCTAGTTGTGTGCAGCTTTTCTTGTGCAGCAGAGCTACTACGACGATTCCAGCACGCACCCAAAGCCGATGGATCTCTTAGCTTTTTGGTTCTTGGAGATTGGGGAAGAAGAGGAGCCTTCAATCAATCTCAAGTTGCTCTTCAGGTACTTCCATTCCATCTAACACTTGATTGTTTTCCTTTCCTCCTCTTCTTAAATAATCTTCTAATTGTTTTTATGTCCTCTACTTTCTCTATTTTGTTCTTTTGCTCCTCCGTTTGGGGAATAATTCCGTTTATATTCTTTATACTCGCTATCTATCCAGTCTAGATGGTTCCGTTATCGGCATATAGTTGCGCATGCATGATGTAGGAATGGCCCATTTCCAAAATACTAGGACAACTTTTTTATGTCGTGGCCTAGATTTGACTATTATCAATACTTTACTTTCATTGGCTCCGAGAGCTCTGAGAAGGAAATCCATTACAAAGAGAATGAACTGAACACCATTATTTGTCTGCTTTAGATCCAATCAGCTTCTGACACAACACAATGTATGGATTGGGTGTTTATACAATTGTATTATTGGAGTATGTACAGCTCACAGCGGATATTCCTTTTTCTTGCATTACGTGTACACGGAAATGATTGGTTTCTGGAAAATAATGCTTTATATTACTTTAGTTAGGCCAATAAATAATGCTTTATTTCAAATGGGTTGTTCAGCTACTAAACTTCAATCATCTGGTAATGGTAGGTATGAATTGCAACTTGAAATTTCCTCAAGAAAAAGATTTCACCTCCACATATAATAGCTTAGTTTTTCCCCTATGGAGTCAAGCTTAGTGAAAAACGGCATTGACTTGTATACTAGTGGCCTCAAGTTCGACCTCCCGCACATTGATAGTGTGTGTGAGAAACCCAATTTCCCTTAGTTTTAGACTATCACTAGTATTCAAAAAATAACATAGTTTTTTGGTTTGAAGTTTTGTAAGTATAACGGAAAATATTAACTAACCTTCGTCCATGCATATATATATATATATATACACTTCAAATTTGTAGATGGGAATAATTGCAGAGAAGTTGGATATTGATTTTGTAATATCCACGGGGGATAATTTTTACGATAATGGATTGACGGGCATCGACGATCCAAATTTCGAAGACTCATTTACCAAAATCTACACAGCACCAAGCCTGCAAAAGCAATGGTACAATGGTACATATCCCAATTCCCAAACTCTTAAGACAATTAAATCCACACTAGTTTTAAAAGCAATATATATATATATATATATAATAATGTTTTTGTATTGCAGTTCTGGGTAATCATGATTATAGAGGTGATGTTGAAGCACAACTGAGTCCTGTTCTCAGAGAATTGGATGCCAAATGGCTTTGCTTGAGATCCTTCATAGTTGATACCGGTAAGGCTAAAGTGTACATCTCAAAATATTTATGTTCTAAACAGAGAAAACCAAATTGTTTTCTTCAGGAAATAGTTTTATTAATCACATTATTGTTATTTTTCTATATTGGCAGAAATTGCAGAGCTTTTCTTTGTGGATACAACTCCCTTTGTTGATAAATATTTCACTCATCCAGAGGACGCTGTCTATGACTGGAGTGGCATATTACCCCGAAATGATTACTTATCAAATCTCCTCAACGTATACTTCGTTTCTCCTCAAATTCAAAATTTTCCAAACTAATATAATTAGAATATTAGCTAGAATTAATAAATTTGGTTTTGGTTTTGGCAAAGGATTTGGATTCAGCATTAAAAGAATCTACTGCAAAGTGGAAGATCGTGATTGGCCACCACACGATTAGAAGCGCTGGATATCATGGTGAAACAAAGGAGCTTGTAACACAGCTTCTCCCAATTCTTCTGGTACTTGATTTCATACTAAAAACTAGAAGAAGAAAAAACACCCACCTTTTCCTTTTTGTTTTTGTTTTTTTTAATCAACGATGATCACGCATGCATGTCTTAAACTTTCAGGAGAACAATGTTGATCTTTACATGAATGGGCACGACCATTGCTTAGAACATATAAGTAGTCCCGACAGGTACTAGAATTCAATTAATCTTTTATTTAATTTATTATTAGCCACTGCATTTTTGTTTTTTTGTGGGAAAATAACAATAATTTTACACGCAGCCCACTTCAGTTTGTAACAAGTGGTGGCGGGTCAAAGGCATGGAAGGGTGAAGTTAGCCTGTACAATCCAAGCGAAATGAAGTTGTATTACGATGGGCAGGGTTTCATGTCAGTGCAAATCACTGAAAGCCAAGTGGATATTGCATTCTATGATATTTTTGGCAATGTCTTGCATAAATGGGCCACGTCAAACCAGCGTTACCCTACCATCACCATGTAACGCAGACGAGGACGAGGACGAGGACAAGGAGGAGGAGAGCGTCGACTCGACATGCACCTGCAAAACTACTTATATGCTAAGCGCTAATTAGCCTACTACAACATAAATGCCATTGCCAGGGCTATACGTTTGTGATTAATGGAAACTAGTTTTCTGGTCTTTCCGTCTCCGCTAATTCATCTTCTTTGAGGAAAGTCATTATCTTTGAATTGCAAGGGCTACAAAACTGCTGGCAAAGTCTAAGAAAGCCTAATGTAATAAATCATGGAATTTGGCGATCATGAATGCATTCAAATATGGGCAAATTATCAGAACATCCTCCAAAGGAAGGAGAAAAATTCACTCTCTTCTTGTTACAAACTAGAACAACTGGGAAAGCAACGAATTATTTAGCAATTGAAGGCAAAGAGTTTACCATAATTTAATTTTAGTTCATGCTTAACACGGACGGAAAACTGGAAATGGAAGATTTGATGTTTGGTGGTGTCCCCAAGTAATCAATCTCCAATTGATGTGTCAATAGTGTCATATAGACATTTAGGGCATGTTTACGTATCAGTAATGGGTATGGAAGGAAAGGGAATGATTTCCATTCTTGACTTCTCCTGCGTTTACTTGCAATCAGAAATGAAAAAAAAAGTGGGCCCTATCTCAAAATCCGTAATCACATTCCCTCAAAACTAGGAATAAGATCAACTAGGAGGGAGTAGTCGATACGATTCTCATTCCTGTTTTCTCTTAATAACTTCCAAAAATACTCTTATCACTTTACCATAATTCTAAAATTAATTTGGATTCTGATTTATGCAAATTAGTAAACAATAACAATGAGAATCAATCCCATTCCATTGCTAATTCCATATGTTTAGTAAATAGCTTAATGGGAATGATTTTTCTCATACCGATTTAGTAGTTCTCCGATTCCTAAATTTTTTGATTCCTTAGTTTCTCCATTACTGATATGTAAACATGCCCTTAACAGCTAGAAATAACATCTCACATCACTCCAACCAATGTGTCAAAGTTGATGTGAAATGAATGCTAGAGGTTGAGATGTTATTTTTGACATCCCAAAAGCAAGATGTCAAATGAATATTATTATTTTTTCTTTTCTTTTTAATTAAAAATAAATCAAAACTAAAATGTAATAAAATAATAATTTAATTTGACATATCGGGTGGAGTGTAAAGCATCTCTAAGGGATATGTCAAATACCAAACATCAAATTTAAATTTGATGGCTGATGTGGCAATTTGACATCTTACACGGCTTTACACTCCACATGATATGTCAAATTAAATTATTATTTTATTACATTATAGTGTTGATTTATTTTTAATTAAAAAAATAAAAATAAAAATAAAATATTCATTTGACATCTTGCTTTTGGGATGTCAAAAATAACATCTCAACATCCCGCCTTCATTTCACATCAGTTTTGACACATCGGTTGGAATGATATGGGATGTTATTTTTAGTCGTTAAATGTTTATGTGGCACTTTTGACACATCGGTTGGAAATGCTCTAAGATGTCAAATTGCCACATCAATCATCAAATTTAAATTTGATGTTTGGTATTTGTCATCTCCCTTAGAGATGCTTTTTAGGGATTAACTTCAAACTTAATTGTTTCTTTCTAAATAATTAAGGTGAGTGAGAATGACGTGGAGATAAATTGATAGAGACAAAGGGACAAGGAAAAAAGGTGTAAGTTTTCTGAATGCCACCATATTTGTTTCTTCCAAAAAGAGATTTTATCGCCGCTTTTTGAAAGGGAGAAGAAACTAAAAAGAGAGAGAGGCCAGGTCATCGTATGCAATTAATGAGGTTAATAATTCATGCAAATTAAATTAGGGAGATTCACTATAAAACCCAATATAGAAGTCCAAATTATAAAAAATAAAAAAAAAACCTATATAAAATGGACTTTAGAAACACACTCAAAGCCTATTTATAACATAACAAAAAGGCTTGTAACTTTTTTTAAATTACAAAACTGTCATTGATTTCTTAAAACAAATCCAACTCAAAAACCTCATAAAAAAACCTAAAACACTTAATGGGGCATCAAAGTAATTTAATAATTAAAATTAAATTCAATAGGGCCAGCTCTCCTTTTTTGGGTATGTTTATAGAAATAAAATGGTGTAAGGTTTATTTATAGTTTTAGTGCCAAGAATGGGTATTTTACTAAATATCTCATTAAATTATAGAAGAAATAAAATGAGAGTTTATTTATAAATATTAATGGGGAGCTGCTCACTATATCTATATATATAGGCTCACATCACAACGCTATCCACCAGAGTCAATTCTCTCATATTTATGGCTTCTTTTTCTACTTGTGATTCCAAAACCATATTTTTCTTCTTTGGGTTGAGAGCAGCATGCCTGTCACTTTGTTTGGTTGGTTCTGTAGCTGAGCTTCAACGTTTTGAGCACCCACCAAAAGCAGATGGATCTCTTAGCTTCTTGGTTGTTGGAGACTGGGGAAGACGCGGACTCTACAACCAATCTCAAGTTGCCTTCCAGGTTTCTACATATCATTTTTCTCAGAGTCATGATCTCTGTACTTAATTGACAATTTGTATACGTGTGTATATGTTTGCATGTTTGTGATTATATGAACGATATATATATGTTTGCATGTGTAGATTTCTATATTTCATGCTGCCATGGTTACCAAATTTCACCATCTTTTTTTGGTCTTGATCAATCCGAGTTCAAAATTTCACCATTTTGTTTTTTGGTCGTAATCAATCCGAGTTCAAAATTTCACCATCTGGGACCATATAATTTGATGATGAATGAATGTATTATGTATGGTCCCAATTTACATACAGAGTATTAGCTAGGGCTAGGGAGGGTATATTCTATTATGCTCTCAAGAGCCATTATTAAATATTCCATGCATATTCTAAAAGGGTCCTTAACTCTGCCACTTTGGTCTAGCAATTGTCGAATACAAATTTAATTAGCAACCATCCCCCAGTCATCATCAATAATTCTGGTTCTGGTTGGTTGTTTTGAAATTGACTGGTAGCTAGACATTTTCAGATGGTGATATTTTATTAGCAACTTTAATCCTTAATTTGAATTGCAGATGGGTCTAATTGGAGAGAAAGCAGACATAGACTTTGTCATATCTACCGGTGATAATTTCTATGAGGATGGTTTAACAGGCGTGGATGATCCAGCATTCAACGAGTCATTTTCCAACATCTATACTGCCCCTAGCCTAAATAAGCAATGGTACAATGGTAAAATACACGCACCCCACCACCATGTTAAGTTAATTAACGTCATGAGCTATTTCGTTAACTGGTAGCATAATTACATGATTAATGCAGTCTTGGGCAACCATGACTATCGGGGTGATGCTGAGGCACAACTGAGTCCCGTCCTCAGAAAAATTGATAGCAGATGGCTTTGCTTAAGATCATTCATTGTAAATGCAGGTAAGCCAACCCTACTTACTTACTTGTGTAAAATGCAACAAAATGCATTAATAAAACTAATTAAAATATTTTGGTGGCAGAAATCGTAGACCTTTTCTTTGTGGACACAACCCCATTTGTGGACGACTACTTTACAAATCCAAAGAACCATACCTATGATTGGAGGGGCGTCACTCCTCGGGAGGATTATCTTTCCAATCTCTTGAAGGTAACGTTACATATTATTCTTATTCTTATTATCTTTGCCAATTGCCACTCATTTATTTTTTTTTTTTTTTTTTTTTTTTTCATTTCTAAATTTATATATATATAGGATGTGGATTCAGCACTAAAAGATTCGAGTGCAAAATGGAAAATTGTAGTGGGTCACCATACAATTAAAAGTGCAGGACATCATGGTGTCACCAAAGAGCTTGTAACCCAACTTCTCCCAATCCTCAAGGTACGTACGAATGTTCCTAATAAATAAATAAATTTCAAATATATATATATAAAAGAAGAACCAAAACAAAAGATTTCCTTTTGAGTAACTGTAAAATAATATTTTATAATTTATTATACGAATTGTTTCCACTTTTCTTCAGGCAAATAATATCGATTTTTATGTGAATGGACATGATCATTGCTTGGAGCACATCTCTGATACTCACAGGTAATTAACAAGTAAAAACAAACTTGGGTTAATGTATGTAAACACCAATTGATTTGGTTGTGAATGCAGTGAAATTAATTTCTTCACAAGTGGAGGTGGCTCCAAGGCATGGAGAGGTGATGTAAAGTGGTGGAGTCCAGAGGAACTCAAGTTGTATTACGACGGCCAAGGTTTCATGTCAATCCAAATGACCAAGGCCTCTGCTGATATAGCGTTCTACGATGTCTTTGGCAATGTTCTGCATAAATGGAGCCTCTCCAAACACCTTCGCTCAGTCACGGACAGAACTTTCTCCTATAATTATTTACTGTAAACTCATTACCATAAATAATAAATAAGGCATCGTCAAATTATCTTTTACATTAAAATGTTAATCAAATAGTTGGAACATAAATTCTTCCTAGTCATATTGGGCAAAAAATAAACTACTTTTCATCCAATGATACATTAAATATAGATTGCTGTATTCTCCAGTGTGGTAAGCTCATTACCAGTTCTCTATGTAACTTGCGGACATAATCTTCCCACGTAGCGATTGCAATCGTAAAATCAACCCAATTAAAGGAATGTTGTGCACTCTCAACGAATGTCACATTGCTAAATACAGAGTCTACTAGACAAACATCCTTCGCTAATAAAGATTTGAGGCAAACAAATCTCTCCCTCTGTGATTGTGACAAGACTACTACCGTGGTAGTTTCTTCTACTTTGGCAGATTTGAAATCAGGAGCTCTCCAACAGTAGAATTGTACAACCTGTGGCATATCATGAGCAAAGCAGGTTTAATAACAGACTTAACCTTGAGGAAATTATAAGTTTAAGAAGTACTGCACAGAGAAATCTCAAACTATGCTGGTAAGAAGAACGTCTATATTCTCACATCAAGGAATTCAACATTCTCTGTTTATTTGAGATTTCACGATTGCTTGAGTTTGAAAATGTATTTACTGAGCATGCACTCATCTTCTCCTTAACATGAACAGCAAATGAGAGTGGGCATTCGGTTGAATACCTGAAGTGCATGCAAGATGTTGATGAACTCATGCTCAAACAACTCATCTCCCCTTGTTAATCGCAGTGGCTCCATCAGTAACTCAGAGATATTCGAACAGTAGCTCTTGTCTTGATTGAAAAGTAGATCGTATCCAAGAACATGCAGTCTTGCCCAGCATATATCAAAACCCAACTGCTGATCAGAAGAAGCTTGGTCTGGTGAAAACCAGTACATATTACTGGATGCTGGCAACGGCAGGCATAATTCAGGAGCATTATCATGAAAAAAATTCTGTGACAGAAGGGTTATAAGTTTAGCATCCTCATCATAGGTAGCATCACGACTAAACCATAATGCCAGTGTGAGTCTTTCCCCATCAGTAATCTGTCAAATGATATTTAAGCATCAGAAAACAATGCAATTTAGATACAGTGATATCAGACAGCAACCCTGCATCTAAAGACCCAAAAAGAAGACAAGAGAGAACGATTAACATCCCCAGTTTTCGCCAACCAGGATGGAAGACCATGAGATTTAGCTGTACCAGTAGCATAAACAAAACAAGGCACAACCAAAATGATAACTTAAATCTTTCACTTTATTTATAATGGGAGAATTGATCTGTTACGCCACTATAAACAGACACACACACAGTTGAATGTACCTCATCAACAGAATGAATGTTGCGGCTGTCAGCTGTGTATATCACAACATCCTGACAAATATAAAATTTTGATGAGTAAGGCAATCAATCACATGTTGAAATAGACTGGACAATAAGGCAATTAATACACCTCTATCACATTGTTGTTTTCTCATTATATATATTCCTAATCTTACGACTTTAAGACTCTTCTTGTTTAAGAGACTCACATTTTCAATTCCCATGCATGTACTGTTTAAAGAAACTGGAAAACCTCCTTATATAAGCTTCAGTCACTTACCCCACCTGATGGAACAATAGTTGCTGGATCCCCATCCTGGAAGTGAAAAAGTCCACCTTTGAAATCATTCCCGTAACTATTCAAATAACAGACTGCCTTTTACAAAAGGAATTAGGAAAACCATCAGCAGAAAGACTATACAAGACATTAAAAATAAATGATAACAAAAGCGTTGCATGTGGACAAGGGGAGATTAAAGCCATGGTATTTGCAACTGCCAAATTGAAAAAAGATAAAAATAAACCATTCAAAAGATAGCTCGACATCAATAATTAAAAGACGAGAATCACAACCAACTTCCAATTAAAATAGGTAAATGAAAGTTATCATCAGAGGGCACTTGACCAAGGAAAGACTATATATCCCTTTAACATTAATATCTTCAGCAAGTCGCATACACACCGCAAAGTCACGCTGCTTAAGATAGGGCCTGTTGTCATCACTATGCCACCCAATGCTCGATCCTCTACTCCAGCTGAAGGACGATGAATAGTATTATCAGATAAAGAGAGTTGAAAAGAGAAATGAGAAAGCATCCATAGACACTCTTGAGAATCAAGTAGCAAAATGCAATGTTGGAAACATAATGGAGTTCCAAAGACATCTAAATAAAAATTCAGGAAGTATACTCACTCTCTTCCCGATTACAGAGCAATGTTATATTTATATTGCACAGTTATTCTAACAAATTGAGTTAGAAATACATTTATTACCAAAGGGTTATGAGGAAAATAAATCTGTTCCATGCTTCAACAGAAACAGGCTGGGCAGCTTTTCCTCAAAATTAATTTGTTCCATTATTAATATTAACTATCTGAGGACATTCTTATCTTTTCTTTGAAGATCTAAGAAGGAAGAATAAGAGTTAAGGGAGGTGCCTACCTGATCAAACCGGTGAATTCAACAAAGAGTTCATATTGGCACCCAAAGAATTCCTCTACCTTCTCCTTCAACCTCTCTGCCAGTTATTCAGTCACATATGATATAACATACCCAAATTCAAAACTATAACCAAAAGGAAAGAAAGAAAAATGAAAACAAAAAAAAGGGCAGGTAGGTAGTAAACCAGCTAACAGTGGTGAGGGTTTGTTTCAGTTATAAATACCTCTGATGGGGACGAAGGGCATGATGAGGTGGGCAGAATTGGTGGCTATGAGATGCGAAAGAGTGGTTGAGAACACATGGGGTCTGTACCCAACCGTACAATTGCTCTTGTGGATAAACTCCAGTTCCTTGCATTCTTGGAAGGAAAGGAAGTTGTGGAGGATGAGACGACGACCATGTTCTTCTGCTTCTTCTGGGTCTCCCATTTTCATCTTCTGTATTGCACTGACCCGACCCGTGAGTTGGGACTTGTATTAGACAGAAATTAATCAAAAGGAAAGGGGTAAATATAAACCCACAGTTTTATGCTGTGCTGAGTTCACCAGTGCTATGAGACTCGTGATTGTTATTTTCACTAACTTTATTTTATGGGTTGCAATTTGCAAACTGTTTTTTTGGTCCAAAGATGAAGTTCATGATTAACATTTGCAATTTGCAAACTTCGAAAGGAGTGGTATTGGCATTAGTTAATTTTCAACTCAAATTAGATTAAAGTTTTCTACTCCCAAAACCTTTGTACTTCATCTTCCATGACATTTTTTTTGCTAATCCATAATCCGGTTAGGAGGAAACAAATTTGTTGCACTGCATGGCGTTATATATCTCAAGCAATCAAATTAGATCCACACTCACATCAAAATTTCTGAACTAGATAGGAAAAAGAGCCAAATATAGATTAAAAGTGCTTTTCACCTACTTTAAGAGTTCATATCATAAGGGGGAAAAAAGAAGAGGACAAGGGATCTCAATTCTCAGAGAGAACTGAAAAAGTTCTTCCGCCTGTTCCTCTTGCTAGTATGATTTTTGGTTTCACTCTTGCCGCTCTTTACATTTGTTTCCAACTCATTGCAGTTTGCAGCCTACCCTGTTTCTTCTTAAGAACCTCTCTCTCTTTCACTCTCCTAAACTGCTCCAGCCTGATTGCTTGCTGCCGTCTTGTCAGAGGTCTGCTGTTCTTCTTCCTTAACGGCTGTTCTTCCGCTGCCAGTCCCCTCTGCACTTCCATTGCAGTCTTGCCTTTGAGCTTTCCCATCCGATTTTCCTTTTGGAGAAGCACCTGTACTGTGGTTGGATTTTCCAGACTCATTGTCCTTATCTCTCGGGGAAGGAGTCTCAACAGTAGGGCTCATTTCAGTTGCAGTACCCGGCAACTGTTGAGGAGCTGATGAGTTACCCGAACCTGGGGGAGGAAGGAAAACTCCGGTGCCAGGAAGAGGGATGCGAGGCGGAGGATGCCTGGGAGCTGCTGGCCATCCAGCCGACCCAGGTGGGATGGGAACTGCTGCAGCAAAAGGTATGGCTGGTCCTACCGGGGCAGGCACAAACAATGGCTGGATGCCATTTTGAGGTGGAAGTTGAGAACGTATTGGTGGGGCTGGCAATACACCAGTAGTTGGAACTGCTGCATAGTGCTTGGGACCAGTAGGATGGCGAATGTGATTCGGAGATCTACTGGGTGGTGGACCCCAGTAAGATGACTGGGCTGGAGCAGGTGCAGGAAAACGTTGACCATCGCTCGTCATGGATTTTTTTGGTTGTGACTTTGTAAAAGTAACAAGTATCCGTTGCTTGCGAATGGAAGGTATTGCATGTTTTGCAAAGTCTGCGGATTTCCCTTGCATCAACAGGATGGATCTGCAGGGTCATGGTGAAACACCTTATGTCAGGAATATGGCACAAATAAATTACAGTTGAATTTCAAATGAAACTAAGCAGCCTGGAAGAGTAGCAAATGTCATTTGTCTTCAAGAAACCTGCAAGCACCAATAAAGTCAGCTGTTGTAGCTTCCTACTTAAGAAGCACAGCAATGACCATGGTTTCTTCCTGAACTAATGGATGCACCAATTAGAGCCCACCAGACATCGTAAGATAAGAGAGATGATGAAATAACGATGTTTTATCTGAATTATGCAACTCATATTCTTGCAGCATCCAAAAGCAAGGAAAAATGTGTTATAGTTAGTATGACTAATGTAATGATTTCTAGTGGATGTCTTCTGGAATACAAGGGTTACAAGGTCATCTTAGTGCAACTTTTTCTCTAGTAAGTAACCCTAACTTGATTCCAATCTTTTTAAAAACAATAGGATTCAGGCTTACTTTATTCTGGAAAGAAGACAATAGTTATATATCAGAACTCAAAAGTAGCAACCAAAAAAAAAGAAAACTTTTAAAAAATGGTATCACTTGAGAGTAGTCAGAAAGGGTACCCAGGTGTAAGAGAGAGCCTGAGGGAGCCTCTATAATCCCCAGGATGGTCCATTAATAATACTCTCCCAAAAGTCATGTCACATTCTGTCAGGTAGAGCGCACAAACAGGCCTTCCAAACCAAGACGGCCATGTGTGAGGTTGTGAATGATCACCCTACAAATAATAATCACAAAAATTACAAAATCTTAGAGCACTGTGCATTTATTCAATCCTACAAACAAATTGTGCACTGTTAGAAACCTCATTATAGACATCAATGATACAAGAGTCTGGCTTCACAGTCATAACATGCATCCCAACTAAACGATCGATAACATCCTGCAGCAAGGAAGGGATGGGTTCTATCTTCCGATCTACATATTTCATTAAAAAGAAAATTCAACGGATGGAGTTTAAGTAAAATGTGAGTAGCCATTCCCTACATTGACAAAAGATAAAACAAAATTCCAAATCTTTTATCAAATGATCATAGTAAATTGCAACATGCCTTTAGAGGTCCCTGCCGAAATTTCATCTTCAGGTGGAGCATCTGCAATAGGGATGCCCAACTGAATCATTTCTCTTCCATGTCCCTTCATGGGCCTCTTTGAGACCACATATGTCTGACCTGTTTCTCATCACAAAGAGATAAAGATATTAATGACAACTATTAATTTTAAGAGGAAAAACCCTTTCTCGGATCACAATTATTGACAACTTGAAGGCTTCCAAAGAAGTAAAAATAATACTCTTCTAAGAATGAAATACAAATTATTTCTAAACCATGCAATCATGGATTTGTAAGAATGAAATTGACACAATTGTATCTTTTGTTTGTTTCAAAACCATGCCATCATGGATTTGTAGACTTGCCTTGCAATTGTCTTCTTTTTCCAGCAGCCCTCAAATCATTTACCAAAGAAACAAGTTTCGAGACTTCTGTGTCGCCAAGAAAATCTTCATACAATTTCAGTCCATCGACTGCATTAACCTAAAAAAAAAGTTACAATTTTCCACGTCAAAATCTACTGATTCTGAACAAACTAGAAGTAAAAAGATAGTATCAAATGGAGTAACTACCGTCTTTCCATCAGATGTCTCGTTGCCAATAAAAGTCTTTGGGACAATGGAAAGGTTCTGCTTCTGATTCTGAATTTGGATGGAATGTGATTCATTCACTGGAAAAATATCACAGAATCCCAAGTTTAAATACAATAGTAACAGGAATAGAACAAAACAAAACTGTCATGTCATGATAGGTGGTGTATAGTAGCCAGCAAGAGAGAGAGGGGGAGAGAGATATTATGGCAACCCATGAATTGGAATTGGAATGGACAAAGTGTATAACCTTTAGAGCTTGGGGTGCAACCATCTACTTCTACAACTTCCGGTTCTGAATTTTCCGATATGGTACCCTGGGAATTTCCGAAACTCCTCAAGTTGCTATCTTCTTGAGGTTTCGTAAGAGCATCTGTCACAGCAATCATAAATAAGTAACAACAAGGCATTACTTCAAAGCATCCTTCTTCATTTCTACAATTGAGAATTGTTCAAATTTATACAATGCAGATAATACAAGTTTGCATGTGTATGCATATATGAGCTTAACAGGGGAGTAAGAAGTACTGATGTTAATTGGAGGTCATTATACTCAGTTTTGGAGTTTATATCAGAGAATGGAAAAGGAGTCTTACTACGTTATCATTGTGTACGAAAGGAGAAATAAATTCACATGCAATTTGAACAATACACTTCACTTTTGAATAATGGAATATGTAACAAGCATAATCTCACTTCCCAGTAAAGAAAGCTAACTCTAGGGTGAAATCACAACTGGTGGAGTGTAGGTCCGCTAATGAAGCAGAAAATTACATGACCACGAGACAGACTACTACTATTTACAACTTTTAGGACGGCACATTTGCCCTGGGTGAAGGCGGACTTCATGAGATGGTTTATGGCTTATTTAGTCTTTACAGAACATTTTCACCACACTTTCCTTATCAGGTCACAAGTTATGAATTTATGAACTACTAAAATATAGATTCTTAACCTTTTGCCAATAACAACTCAAGAAAATTCCTAGCATGACATATGCTTCTTTAAAAGATTAGGTTTTTTGGTTCAGCTCTAAGGTTTTCTGATTGCATTACCATAAAACCAGCATTTACTACGCAATTATATGGGCACCAAATTATCAATCCTAAACCCAAAAGTTACCTTTTTTCTCTCCAGCGGGCGGTAAACCCTTATCATTTAACTTCCCAACCTCCCCACCAGGCTCAACTTCCTCACCTACTTCGCTCCCCCGCTCAAATTTCTCTGGAGCCACAACCCCCGAAGAATTCCCATCATTACTATGAGACTCTAGGGTAGAATTATGTCCCTCCTTGAAAGCCTCAGCCCTCTGTTGGCCCTTGTTAAACCCCACACCAGATCTCTTGAACTCCTTGGCCCCCGCTTTTACAGGATCATAGTACCTCTGCTGCCTCCTCCAGGCAACGTGTTGCAGTGCATAAATCACCTCGGCAACGGAAAAGTACTGCTGCATATGAAGCACGGGGTTCCAATTGCACCTCCTCTGCTGGATACACCCGATAACCACGTCATACTCGCCTGGCTCCCCAACTGCACGCAAATGGTGGCAAAGGGAGTCTATAATGGCATTTGCAGCTGCGAATTCTCCGCGCAGCCACGAGATGAATCCATCACGCTCGTCTGGGAACCACTGACGGTGGTGCTGGGGGATCTCGCCGCCTCCAACGGCCCCACCGCCACCACCACTAGGGAACTGCATTTTGTCCGATAAAACCACATTTCCCGATGGCATTGTCATGAGAACCCACTATACCAAATTCACCACTACCACATATAAAGCATGCCTCAGTACTCTCAGATCCAATAAATCAAGGAACGTCTATATTCTAAATCCCGCACAATTCAAGCAGATCCCACGAAATCAATGCCCTAATCTAGCAGGAATCAGTTTAAATACCACAAATTTCTTCAATTTTTCCACATTTACGATAATAAAGTTAGCAAATTTCTGAAGAACAGTGCAAAACCTGAAATGGGTTTCCCTTATTTTGTTCAAACTTCGCACCGATCCCACAAAATTACTGAATTTAGGCGAATTGTGTTAGCTGAGAGGTGAAAAACCGAGCTGAGTCAGTAGATACTGCGGGGATGAATTAGACAGATCTAGAAATGGGGTTTGTGGGAACAGAAAGTAAGATCAAAAGGGTGTATCAGCGTGTGTATTCATTCGTGTAAGAGAGTTGGGGGGGCTGAGTGAGTCTCAGTCAGTGGCGTAGAGATTGGGGTGGGGTTTCAAAGAGTAAGATCTAGGGTTCGGCAAAATGTAGATTGTGCGCGTGTGAAGTGAGAGCTAAGATGAAGAATGGCTTATTGAGCACGCATTTGGTCTTAAATGGTGGCTGTGGAACTCTCTCTCTCTCTATCTCTCTAAACTTCTTGAGGGAAGGAAGCTGAGTGTGGAAGGGACCGAGAGAGCATATTCTTGAATGTAGGGGTATTTGAGTCATTGTGTTAGGGTTTTTCGAAACTAGTTTTAATTTAATTTTTCAGGAGTCTTCTCCTCCCTCTGGGATTGAGATCGAGTTAATTAGTCGTTTTTTCCTGCTTTGTATAAGCTACCTAAACCACACTCCACAATCCACTTGGTCTATTTTCTGTTTCGTCACTTTTGTAACAAGTTAACAACTATTTCTTCCTAAACTAATTTTGGCATTTCCTATTTTAGGTACCTCAACTGAACATTCTAGTCTAGTATCTTGTTATTCTCAACTCTATTTTTGCACTCTGCTTACTACAAATCTAACAATCTCAAATTTTGAATCATCATCACCAAATCATTTCTTATGTTTTTCACAAACCTATATGAAATATAAGTACCAAAAATTAAATTAAAGCCTTCTTAGCAAAAAAAAATTAACAAAAATAAAAAAGACCGTGGTAAGTTAATTGGACTTCAAGATATACCACAAATTAAAGCTTTCTTTGCTTGAGTGGCGTACCAAAATGATCAAGAATTTTATAGTGAGATTTTATATCTTAACCATTAGATCAAACTTGATTAAACTAACAAAATAACACTAGATAAACTTGTTTGGATCTTCACCAAATTTACCGGATTCCCTTGGGCGGCTGGTTAAATTGACCCAGCCCAGCTGTGTTTTTTTTCATACAAAACATTATTACTTTTTATTTACTTTTGTTAATTTTAGAATGCTTATTTCAAAGTAGCAGTAAAATGCTTTACCAAAGAAAAAAAAACCAGTAAAATGTCAACACAGAAGAAAATACATGACATTAATGGTTGTCAATTGTCATCATCTTCTAACAATAATAGTTTGGTTCGATTCAAATAGTAACATGTAATGCTTGACTAAAAGCGTCTTTGCACTTGCAACATCAGCGATGTCATTTTCATTTGGGTGTCTACATGTATTTATGATATGTGCAGCAACACACATGGCATCCAGAAGGACATTGGACACGTGAAAAAGATCTATATTATGCAAATCGTGCTCTAAAAAATGAATAATATAGTTATGACCCGTTTTCTAATGTTTTCTGATAATATTTTTAAAGAATGAAAACGATAAAATAAATTTATATTTTCAGGATTCAATAATGCGTTTGGTAGATTAATTGAAAAACAATTTTAAAAACAAACACAATGAAAATGTGTCTTGTAGGTTTAAAAAAAAAGAAGAATAATATTTTAAATCCATTTTAAAAAAACCTAAAATTATCTTTATACAAAAAACCCATCCGACCAAGCCCAATCCCCCACTTCCCCATTCTCTCTCTCTCTCTCTCTCTCTCTCTCTCTCTCTCTCTCTCTCTAACCTTTTTTCTAACCTTTTCTTTTGGACATTCTCCCTTCTTCTCATGACAAGTGTTATTTTCCTTACACTTAAAACAATATCATTAATGCATCACACAAGTTAGTTTTTGCTTTCCAAGTTTACCCTTATTAAATGTATTAGCTTTTATATTTCCTTCAATTTATTCAAATTTTGTTACAACTTCCTTAGCAGTTAAAAATTAAATAAGAAAAAATGTCATTTTTTTTGTTGAAAAAAAATGAAGTTTGTTTCATGACATTGTTATCATGAGAGTGATATCATCATTATTTTGTGTTTAACAAAACATACGTCATCCTTGGAAAAATAAATAAATAAACTTCAATTTTATTTTATTATTTAATTTTTTAACAAGGTAATGAGAAAGTTGTAAGAAAAAACTAGCTTGTTATTGAAAAGAGTTAATACATTTAATAAGGGTAAACTTGGAAAACAAAAATTAATTTCTGTGATACATTAATGACATTGTTTTAAGTGTAAAGAACGTGACACTTGTCATGAGAAGAAGGAAGAAAGTCCAAAAAAGAATGTTAGAGAGAAGGTTGATAACATTCCCCCTATAGGCACGTCCTCTTCGATTTTGGCAAGCTAGCGATTTGGGTTTGTTTGGTTGCATATTGAAATTTAAATCAACATCCTTGTAACCGATTGAAAACAAGAATTCAACAACCCATATGGTGATTTCGAATAGTGGGTCTCATACTGGGGTTGAGAGGGATACCATGTGGAGATATTAAGGGTTTTGAGGGGGGTGAAAGGATGAGGCAAAGAGAGAAATGAAAAGACAGTGAGGTGTTCAATTTTTGGATCTAGGTTGAGAGAGAGAGAGAGAGAGAGAGGTGAAACAAAGAAAGAAGGAAGGCTGCGTTTTCGTTTTATGAGAAAACGATAATTTTTCGTTTTCAATATTTGTTCATGGTTACTGAATTCATTTCCAAAAGACAAATCCGTTGTTTTTCATTCTTGCGTGAAAATAGGTAACATAAAATGAAAATTGGGCTCTAAAAACATTATTGAACGGGCCCTTACTCTCACCAAAATTATCCTTTAAATCGAGCTACTAAGAGCATCCACAATTGACCCCCTAAACCACCTCGCTAGACAAATTTTAGAAAAGAATTGGAAAAATACAACTCCAACTATGTTCTCTATCCACCTCCTAAAATATGGAGATATTTAGGAGCTTCTAAATCTGAGGAGAGAAAAATGACTCCTAGTGGCTCCCTATAATTTAATGTTGCTTTGTTTTATGCGTAGTTTAAACTTTTAATTAATGCTAACTATTATATATATATATATTTTTTTTTATAGAGATGAACCAATCAAATTGAATTAAAAAATAACTATAATATGTATGATTCAATAAACTGGGGAGTATGATTGGAGTTCAAATTTTATAGAGAGCTCCTATAATAACTTTTGTGTGTTTTTAGCTAAATTTTAACTAAAAATAAGGAGCATAATTGTAGATGCTCTATGAGATAAATGGAAAAAGGGAGAGAACGCTTCAAGGATGGTGGACCTATGTTGATCAACTTTTCTTTTGGCCTATCTATTGTCTCATATATGGGTTGGCTTTGGTCGTGTCTCATCTTGTAAGGCTGTTTTTTGAGGTGTTGCGACTTGGTCATGTTAAATCCACTGTTCATTGGTGCGTTGAGGCACTGGAGTAACTAGGTGGCATTCTTTATGTAACACCATGAAAGAAGATTAGCATCAGTTGATTTTCCTTTGCCCGACATTGTTTTATTTTTTTATTTTGTTTTAGTTTATTCAATAAAGTCTAGAAACTCCATGAGTTTCCTGTTTTTTTTCTCCTCATAAATTCATAAACTTAGTTGAGTTTGTTGGGTGTTCTTAGCGAGAGTCATGCCAATTAGCTACTAGTTTTTGTCTTTGATGCCCTTGAACTAGATTCGGGGAAATTATGGTGGTTAAAATGGGTTTTAGAAAAGTTATTTTCGAGTGTGATTCTCTGCGGATCGTTACAACTTTTCAACTGGCTTATGGGTCAATAAGGAAGTTTTACCCATGGTTACCATATTGTTATTGGGATAGCTCCATTTACAGTTTGTGTCTTTTGTTCTCTTTATTCTTGTTGATCTAAAAAAAATTATATTACATTATTATTATAATAAAAATATTATTATTATTAATATTAATAATATTCCCATAAATTCCTTGATATGTATATTAAGAAAAGCTAAATTTGTCATTAACATACAATCTACTTTCTTTTTTCTTTTTTCATAAATTAAGTGTATCTTAGACAATGTGCTATAAATAAGAATGGTCAAGATTTGAGACTTTTATGCACAAGGAAGAGGGTTCAACATGTGGGGTGAAGTAATATATCGAAAACTTAATAAAATATAGTATAATATATGGGTGAGTGGTTGCACCAATATTTTATTTTATATTTTGTTGTGTGATAAAATCTTGCGCATGCTATGCTATGCTCGATCAATAAATAAAAGGATGTTACTGTTCTCTCTAAACATGGTATCAAAGCAAGATCAATCATGATGTTAGAGGTGGCTAAATTGACTATACCAATTTTATTTTATTTTAATAGAAAAAGCGATAGTATTTATTGATGAAACATAACAAGTACAAAGCCACAAACATGCCGAAATGGGTACAATATCTCTAGTGACCAAACACAACAATATGTTGATTTGATTTGGAGAGAATTACGCCTAAACCAACAAATACTCAAACCCCCGGTTCAGCAACCCGAACCGCATGTACTCATACTAACAATACAAATCTTCACGAAACGGCAGATCCGTATCACAATCGAAAATTAAAATACATAACACAACAAACTCCTAAAAAAGTTCATGAGAACTAAAATAAAATACAGCAAACTCTTAAAGAGTAATAGTATAAAACAAAAACAAAAAAGAAACAGGACCATCGCTACACATCCTCTCTTGCAACTGAATAGACTCATAACGCCATACTTGCTAAACCATTTGTGCCGCACCAGCTAAACTCTATCCCATACAAACTGGCAACTTCCATGATTGTAATTCTAAACTTTGAACTGGAGTCCAAATCTTGTATATGTAGGCCAAAAACCGCAACTAAATCATGGCAATAATGGTGTTTTGTGGTGGCTACTTTAACATCAGCTACAAACCAGCATAGCAACTGCTGCTACCCCACCGATGTTGTCGCCGTCACTTGCAACCAGAAACAGAAAAATAAAACCAAGATCCCCTTGAATCCAGGCAACAAAAAGCCTCCTCACAAACCAAAACTCCAATCTATAGCTATGAGGAAATGGTGAAGGGAAAAGAAGGGAAGAGGGGAGAGAGAAAAAAGAGGGGTTGAGAGAAAAGAGAGAGGAGGAATAGATGAGGGGAAAAAAGATGGGGTAGGGGAGGAGGGATATAAATCGCCTTCCCCACCCTCTGTGGCACTCAAAGGTGTGGGGGGCTAGAATTTTTTTTCATAAGAGAGTACTTTTTTTAAAAGGAACATTGACAAACCGAATTACTAAATGACTTTGTTACTCTTTGATTTATGGTTTTAATTTGATATCGATAAGTCCAACATTGAGTCTCATTGATTATATGCATCCGAATTTCACCAAATTTATGTGATAAAATTGGTTTGAGATACATTGTAGTAAACCATTTTTCTTCTTTTTAATTGTGGTGGGTTGTGCAACTAAATTGACTAATGTTTTCTCTGCGCCACAAGTAAAGACTTTGGTTGCAAGAGGTACAATATTGGCGATGGAAGGGGTTTTCAAAATGTTGTCTTTGAAAGTGATGCGCTCCAGATCGTTACAGCACTTCGAAGTCACTCCAAAGATATTTACGTCATAGGACTAGTGGTGGATTATACCAAGAGCTTGCTGACACATATCACTGGGGAAGGTTTTATCCATATTCGTCGTACTGCTAATGGTGTGGCTAATCGTTTAGCTCATTTTGCCTTGCATATCAGGGGTTCTCTATATTGGTTCGAGGAACCTCCTGATTTTATTTCTGATGTACTATACGAGGATTGTAATTCGTGACCAATGAATTTACTTTGCCCTTGATATGAGTTCAAACTTCTTGTATTACCTTTTTCACGTCAATATTATTCTATTGCTTATCATCAAAAAAAATATATAAGCACTATTTTGAACAAAATGGAGGCATTATAATAAGGCTAATTTGTTAAGAAAAAACTAGAAAACATTATATTCAATGTATTTGAAATAACTAAGATGCAATGCATTTGGAATGGATTTGAAATGACTATATGCAATGAATCATTTGAAATTCGTTTGTTTTTATCATTTCCTTATTAATAAAATATTGACATTAACATGAATTATAGTAGTCTACTAAATTCTAGATTTGGAATCCCTCCAATCAAATCATAGCATAGAAAAATAAGAAAACATAGAAGCAAATTGGAAAAGAAAAAAAAAGGTTATAAATGAGGAAAATTAATCAGAAATTAAAGCAATACCGTTATCCTTCCTCTTTTCTCCCTAAATCCCTGATAAAACAAGAAATCTCATTATTTTTATACAATGCGTGAAAAAAATATGGTAAGCAACTTTGCAGGATCATTTGTTATTAAGAATAATGAGACTACCAACCCTTATTTTTATTAGAATAAAAAGTTATCATGCAAACAATAGTACTGTAAAATTACCAACCCATTCCGTCCCTCTCTCTCTCTCTCTCTCTCTCTCTCTCTCAAGCAATGGCTGCCTCGGTGACCTTTCAGGCCTCCCTCATACAACCAAAACCCACTCTCTCTTCCAAAACCCTGCAAAACCCTCGACCTACTTTCATTTCTATTCCTTCTACTACCATCTCACGTATCTCTCTAACTCTCTCTCTCTCTCTCTCTCTCTGTGCTAATATGAAATTGACGCAAAGATGTCATTTTTGTGTGCAGAAGTGAGATTTGGTGTCAAATTGGGAAATGGGTTCGCCGCAAAAGCTTCAATGGCTGTCTCTGAAACATATTCGAAGCCTCCCGCCTCTGAAAAGAGGGTCAACAATCCCATCATTGTCATTGACAATTATGATAGCTTTACCTACAATCTTTGCCAGGTTTTTAATTCAATTTTTTCTTCGTATCTCCTCTTTTAATTTTGAAAAATGATGAATTTAATCTTTTGCCCTTGTTGGTGTAGGCTAAACTGCTGAACGGTTCATTAGTACTAGATTTAATCTTTTTAACGGAATTGTCTTGTTCTGTTTCATTCATTTCGTGAAATATAAGAACCCCTTTTGTTATGTGCATAGAATTAGAATTTCATATATATTAGGAAGCACATCATTTTATATGGAGAGATTAATTCATGTATATTTTTTTCACTGGATTTTCATTTTTCATAAGAGTGCAACAAGATTTTGTATAACAGTTAAAGAAATACTCACCAAACACATATGTGATTTAAATTCATGTGCTTATTGTTATGGAGCCCTTTCCGGGAGTTCCTGAAACATCAGTGATGGTTGAACTCATTCATTTTAATCAGTTTTACATGTCCTTTAATTTATTGATGGTTCTTGCCAATTAAGAAGGCATTGCACTAATACCTTACTTTGGTGTGAAGTATATGGGAGAGTTGGGATGTCTCTTTGAAGTCTATCGAAACGATGAACTAACTGTTGATGAACTAAAAAGGTAAGAAGTTGTACTTCACCTAGTTAATCATTGTTTGCTGATCCGTAAACATTTTGTAATGTGTTTTAGGTGGCGAAGCAATTATGATATAAACATATATCCTCTGTAAGGCATCTGATTTTGTCACATACATAACTTCTTTCCGTTCTTGCAGGAAAAATCCCAGAGGAGTGCTAATCTCTCCGGGGCCAGGTCAGTTCTTGACCTTCTGGTGATCTTTCATCTATTGGTGGATGCTTGGAAAAGGAAACAAGTACTCATTCTTAGATTTTTACACATAGTATGTTCCTTTTGTAGGCACGCCCCAAGATTCTGGAATATCTTTGCAAACTGTATTGGAGCTGGGGCCCGTTGTACCCTTATTTGGTGTTTGCATGGGTTTGCAGTGCATTGGGGAGGCTTTTGGAGGCAAGTTTTCTTACATATGATAAAGTTTTTTTTTAACAATCTCTGAATTTGTTGTATGCATTTGACTGTGCACCTTTATTTTCTACATTATCTTTTCATTCTGCAACACTCTGTATGCATAAAAAATGAAACTAGTAAAAGTTCACTTGATTTTTTCTTGTTTCTGTTGTGACTGGTAAGCCACTTTTTGTGTGGTTTTATAATCCACATGGTTGCGGTGTTGCAGGGAAGATTGTCCGTTCTCCTTTCGGTGTCATGCATGGGAAGAGCTCGCCTGTATATTATAACGAGAAAGGGGAAGATTTGTTTTCTGGATTATCGAAGTACGAATTTTTCTTTCCTTTTGTGTTGTTATTCTTTTCTTGTGTAAGTTTTCCTAAACGTCGGCAAGTATTAACATTCTTATTTACGCATAGTAACAGGGTTGCAGTATTTCCAAACATTAATTCACATTAACATTCTTATTTACGCATCCTGTGCATTAATGGGCTCTCAAGTAACAATTGAACTTTCCTTTTTTCTTTTCAGCCCTTTTACTGCTGGCAGATATCACAGTCTTGTAATTGATAAGGACAGTTTTCCTAGTGAAGAACTTGAGGTTACAGCATGGACAGAGGATGGACTGATAATGGCTGCTCGTCACAAGAAATATAGGCATCTTCAAGTAAGATATGGTTTTCCTTTTTCTTTTTTTCTTTTTTTTTTGCTTCCCAAATCCTGGAATAAATTTCTCCAGGATCTTTTGAGAGGCAGTTTCCAGTTGCGTCATTTTTTATCCTAGAATTCCTTTAACAAATCACTGAGAGGATGAATGATAATGTTATGCATTGAAAATAGAGCAAGTTGCCTAGTTTTTAAATAAATTTTGACGCGTATTGAATTTGAGACGGGGAGTAGTGTGCACAGTGCAGATAGGTCATGATATTATCTTGAGAGAGCCCTGTGGTGATTATGGTTTCTTCTTGTGGACAATAAGATGATTTGTCCATTATTAGATTAGTCACGGGATTACACGTAACATACGAAAAAAGTTGAGGAATGTTTGAAGCAGCACACACACAGAGAAGTGTTAACATGTTAAAATTTACCATGCCAGAAACAATATTTTTGTTGTTGCATGATAATAAAATCATCAGTCATGTCCCATAATAGTTGGTGCAATTGTGTCAAGTCAATAAGCTGATATTTGACTGGACTTTTAAAAAAAATTAATTTAGCTCTTCATTTGTGTTTTGGGTTAATTCTTTTAGCTACGCAATGTAGATGGATTGCAGCCTAGAGGTTTACTTAATGATATTTCTATTGACTTGCATTGCCACATGTTACATTCATGAAACAGAAGCAATTGCAAAGATGCAGTGCCATAGAGCAGTTGTTTTTGCTGGGCGATGTTTAGATAACAATTTGGAATCCGAGAGGGTTCCTACTTTATTTCATTGCGTATCAATAATTAGTTAGTATAAATAAGATTATATTTTATGTTTTTTAATCCTTGACTTGTATGCCTCTTTTCTGACCTTTTACTCCTACCCCTATAGAGTTAAAGCTCAATGCAGTGTTGTTGCTATAACCAGATACATTTGAAATTTTGCAGGGGGTTCAGTTCCATCCTGAAAGTATCATAACTTCTGAAGGCAAGACAATTGTGCGTAACTTTATCAAATTGATAGAGAAAAGAGAGTCTGAATCAGAGAATTGAAGGCTTGGTCGATCTGCAGATTCTCCACAATGTAATGTGACGTGGCAATATATATATATATATATATATATAAATGTCCTTCTCGTCATATTCTATGGGTTCAGGTTTGTTATTTTTCTTTCTTTGCTAGCTTCATGAGTTGAAGATGGACCTTGGATCTGGCTCATACATCGTGGTGGGCTAGAGAGTTTGCTTGTTTCTTAATTTCATGCTTGTATTGTATCCATTCATTTAAGAACCCCTCGCATAGGCAAAGCTGAATGGTCCATGTCCAAAGTTGTCCTTAAACACTTAAGAAACCAGCCCTAGTGTTCATTGTGGAAAGATTATAATATGAAGTGCAAGCAACTCATCTTTTAAAGGATCTAACCTGCGTCAGAAGGATATTATCACTCAGCCTATGTCAAAGCGATTCGCGACAATAAGGATCTAACTTTATATTTGTTTACTACAACGTTGATACTTATTTAGTTGGGAAAACATGCACCAAAGTCTGCCAAAATGGTCGGTTCTGAATGTTTTTGTTTCAGAATCTTGACTGTTATCTGCTTTTTTTTATTGAACATATTCTCTTGAACCTCTTGTGAAGATCTTAATAAATTGTTTAAAGAACATTTTTTTAAAAACGAATTTGCATGAAACTAATGTCAAGTTGATCACTTCTCACTTCTTACAATTGCGTTCTTTTTTATTCCTAAGCCTCCATACTCTCTGCCAGTTTCGGTTTTAGGATTCTTTTATGCATTTTCGGAGTTCGGAATCCGGAACTTTTTGGGGCAATATTTAGGATTCAATTTGGATTTTCATTGCTCGAATATTTTGGAATCCCAAAATTAGAGCCTGGTTGCCAACTCTTAACTGGGCCAAGGTGATGAAAAGCCCAATTGACATGGGAGATGTCCATACTCTTTAATTTTCCGTTGGAAAAAATTAAAAATTAAAAATCCTTCATTGCCTAGGACACCCAAAAAACAAAAACAAAAGATCAACAGCAAAGCCCTAATCTTTAGGTATGGAGAAATTAAGCAGCCAACCAATGTAATTATGTAAGAGTAACAAGACGGTTTTTTTTAGGGAGTTTCACTAAAACACCCAAAATGGGGGCTGAAATTATAAAAAAGCTCAACACCCAAAACACTTTATAAACACACCCAAAACTCATCATTACACACACTCAAAACCCATTTATAAACACACCCAAAAAATATACAATTGTTGATTTTGGGTGTGTTTCTATGTTTAAATAATGCTTGAATTTTTTTATAAATACATGTCTAGGATTGGGTTTATTTATAAATTTGTATTTTTTTTTGGGTCGAAGTAACAAGGCACCTTATGTTGTGGCCAAGTGTGCTCGTACAGTTACTTTTGACATGTGGAAAAACCCAAATCAATGTTTGTCTGTTGGCTCGTGGAGTATTATTCTACTGTTTCCCATTCAGGTAAACATGGCATCGGGTTTTTACCTTTTCACCTTGTGTTAAGATGTTAAGATAAACACAAATCAAGTGGAAAAGAGGACCACAAACACGAACTGCAAGTCTTAGTTTTGTTGTATGTCAGCAAGGGTTAGTTACCGCTGCCTCATACTCAACCAAATTTTGACAGCTCATTTCTTCTCTAGTGGGCCAAAGGATTTCCACAGAAATGATGCCAGAAAATTCAAAATTTTTTACTTCAGCCAAAAATATAAGCAGGTTTTGTTTTGCTCATCTTACTTTTACCTCCCCCTCGTGTTTCAAAGTCACGGGACCAACTTTGAAACCATGAACCATCCATTGAAGGCAGCCTTAAGAATCAAACCTGCAGCATTCGCTGCGAAGGGAAAGTCCAACATACTGCCATTTGCTGCACCATTTCTTCAGCAATTGTCACATCCAACTGACCTTGGATTCCAATTAAGCATTGACAAAAGTATCATCATCCCAGCTTCACAGGTCTGACTTTAAAAAAGATAACAGAGGGTGACCAAGTTCTGGACTTTTATTAATGAAAAGTTGAAAACAATTTTAGTAAACTTGATGATCCATTAAAAACAATAATAATTCACAATAACAAAAGGGAAATCCACGCCTGCTACATATTATAGTAAATTCCATATGCTTAAATATTTATTGAACCCATGAGGGCGTGTCAAAAGTACAGAAATCATCACTAGATTCAATTTGTAAAGCCAAAGACAAGCATGAATGATAACTGGGAACCATCATCTAAAGGTATATGAACTATACACACATGCCCCCCCAACCCAACCATATAAAAACTCTATCCACCCTCAATAAATTTGTGCTTCTCCTCTCTATACACCGAAAAACTGACTTAGCGACATCAACTGAATGCCAATGGAGATGAACATAGTGCTTGCTCATGTGAGAATCTTATATATTCATATAGAAGTGGCCTCTGCCTGGCTTCCTCTGGTCCGGTGGTGATGCTTTCCATGGTGGCGTCTACCTTTCCCGAATGTGACGGGGTCAAACACTCGCAGCCTTTCAGCTTCTTGGGGATTAATCACACACTCTGGAGGAGGAGACTTGTATCGGATTCTGTCATAGCAGTAGGAGTATGTCATGTGCTTCTTCCTGAAACTATCCATTTTAATTCTTTGTAGGCGTGTAACACCAGTAGGTACCGATTCAGAACTTTGGGTGTTATCACACTTCTTTGATAACTGTTCAATTGGATCAACTGCACAGCCGTGTAGAACAAGGTCAGAGAACTGGGCCAAATACGGGGCATACTTGTAATTCACTCTGTATTTTCCACCATTGGTAGCCCAATCAGATCCATCCCATATTGTGGCATACAATGACATTGGCTTAGAGGGAAAGTCACCACCCATAGATTCTGTTCTCTTAACCTCTCTAATGGGAACATCGTCCACGTAAAATCTGTAAGTAATAGACATTGGAAACAAGAACACAGTTAAAATCTCAATTACATAACTCATAAAGAAAACATAACAATTTTCTCTTTAGTTTCTCTATAATCACTAAGAACGAGAACTTCCCTAGAATTATTCCATTTTCTTCTAGTTCCCCTAAAACCAAAACTTGCATCAACTAAGCCTGGTGGTTGTGGTAGTCTCAGTCAACCCAAAATCCGGTTGTATCTGTCCCATAAACTTAGAATCTACCATTCAAACCAAAATTCCCTATACCCTTTCTTTTTTCTTGAATCCGAAATTGAACAGAGCATCAGCTACCACAGGACAACTGGTTTTGATGAAACAAGAGGCGGTATTATGGGGAGAAACAGAGCAAGTTCTGTATTTTACTAAAAGGAGAAACCCTGCCTCTGCCCCACACAGCAGAGGCATCACATCAAACCCAAAAAACAGTAAACTCCAGACTTCAGAGAAAATGATATTATTAGTGACAATAATGGGAAAATATGCTTTATAGAAAGATGATATGCTGTAGATTTAATGTATTAATCTAAATTTAGTGCGGTGAGTTTTGATTGATGCTCACATGATCTGAGAGTCAGTCCAGAGAATACTGTACTGATGGAAATCATCCGAAGGATCAAACCAGAGATTGCATCTCTCTTCTCTGCCGGTGCTGGTGCTTCCATTGCCGTAAACATTGGTCTGAATCCTCCATTCTTTGCCTCGTATATTCCCCAAAAACTCAAAATCAATTTCGTCATGGTTCTTCGGAAACATGTCACCATTTGACATCTGTTAAAACATAAATTAGATTAGAACAAGCTTTTAAAAATAAAAATAGAAACTTAACGGTCTAATGGAAAATTTTAAAACAAAAAAACGAACATACATGTGGATGGAAATTTATACTCATAGGATAAATAACGAAATTTATTTGTTTCAATAGGACGAACCTTGAACATAAATTCAACGAAGAAATTTAAGAGCAGCCTATCTGGGTTATCATATACTCTGTGTTGAAGGCTGAGGAGAACACAAGTTTGTATCGTGATATTGATAGGATTAGATCTCTAATATTTTCTTAACTCGAATTGCCACCAAAAAAAAAAAAGTACGGATTCTTTTGCTGACCATAAAAATCAATCTTTACTGAAACAACAAAGTATAACTGTAAACTAGAAGATTAAAATCTGGGTCAGAAGAATGAAAGAATCAGGCTGTCTTTTTATCACAGTCTAAACTACAACAAAGAAAAAGGAAAGTAAAATGAAAATTTAAAATATTTTATAAAAAAACTTATCAGATGGAAAGCAGGATTACTCACATAAAAGGCAACAACAACTCCAGCAGCATAATCAGCGGGCAACTTAATGGAAGCACTGAAAAATCCATGATGGTAGAGGTCCTGAGAAACAAATCCAGACCCTGTACACAGACAAAGCCACCAAAACGGAAAACAAACAAAAACTTGGTCAAAAACCCATCAAGAAACGCGACCTCAAAACCAGCAAGCAAATCCATTTCACATGATACACGAGACCAGGAGCAACCAAGGGAAACACACCTGTCCGTTCGTCCAGTGAGAGATGAACGGATTTCCCATCTCTAACGATCATGAGGTTGTCGTCTCCAAAAAGCTTGTTATACCCTTCATCAAAGGATATGATTGGTAAATTTCTGGATGAAGCAGAAGCAAAAGCTCCTAGAACAAGCACATGGCAAGCACAGACAAATAATCCCAGATGAGAGAAACCCATCTTTCTTTTTCTTTTTCTTTTTCTTCTATTTGGGTCCAAAAATTAAATGGTTTTTCTTCTTTTGCTCTGGTTTTCCTTTCTTCTGAGTTTTTTTAATTGTTTGTGAGAGCTATATATAAGAAGGGGAAGAAGAAGGGAGAGGAGAGACAAAGATAGAAAGAGAAACAGGCGTGTGGGAATATCTCTACAGCTATCTACGAGAGACAGAGAGAGCCGAAAAGGCTTTAATGAGAGAAGGAAGACAAGGCCAAGGGCAAGTCATTTTATTGCCGAGTGTGAGTGGGAGCTGTTGAGCTGTGTTCTGTTCATATGCACATTGCACCGGACACCCTTTTCTTTTTTCGTTTAAATATATATATATATATTTTATTTACGTTATTCTTTACAAAATTATTATCGTCGCCGCGTATCTTTAATAAGACAAGAGTTCTCTGATATATAAATAAATTAGTTTCTTTACACGTTCTTCTGCGCCTGTGAGAGACTTTTATAAAAATTAAATTAAATTTATTTTAGAATTAAAAAAGATAATGGGTAGTTGTGTTTCATAAAAATATGATTCATTATCTTATTTTTCTTTTAATTTTAATTTTTTTAATATAAAAAAGTGTGAATTTACTATATTATCATTATTTAATTAATAAATTCAGTTCTTAATGTTTGCATTAACCAATGGCATTTTTCGGTATTTTGAATGTTTCATCATTCTCTGCCTTTTGCTTTATATATACTAGCTTTTCTGCACGTGTTTCCGTGCTTGTGAGAGGATTTTTTTAAATAATTTAATTTATAATTAAAAAAGATAATGGGTAGTTGTGTTACATAAAAATAAGATTTATTATCTAATTTTCCTTTTATTTTTAATTTTTTAAATATGAAAAAGTGTGAATTTACTATATTATCCTCATTTAATTAATAATTTTAATTCTTAATGTTTGAATTAGCCAATGACATTTTCTGGTATTTTGAATGTTTCACCATTTTCTGCCTTTTGCTTTATATATATATATATATATATAAATAAGACGACGAGGTTCTTTTCCATAAATTGCCTATCAAAATTCCCAATTAAGGGCTAAGACTTTGAAAAAAGCAAAAGGAGAGAGAAATTTTTTAAAAGAAGCTAAAATTGACAAAATTGCCCTTATTTATTTTTGGATTTCCTAATGAATTTTTTACATTTGCATGTCTTTGATTTGAAAGTTGATAAGTTTTTCTGTCTTTTTTGAAAAAGCTTTGGTTTTTTCCAAAAGTGAAAGTTTTTTTATGGTTAAAACCTAAATTTACTTTTATAATTTTTGTTTAAAACTTAATTAAGGGGATTAAATGGGTAATTTAGTTTAAATTAATAGATTACAACACTATAATATGTCGAATTTATGGATTTATTAAATATTTGACTGAAGTCTGGATTACCTAAAAAATTTTTTTTTTCAACAATGCCTTGTGTATACGATATAAATATAGGTGATATGTTTTGTCATCAATCCACACTATACCCAAAATATATACACATAAAATTTCGACCCACAAAATAATTTCGAGATAAACTATATAATTAACTAGTCATATTATATACAATTTTATTACAAAAAATAATAATCTTTGGTGATGGTGGTATGTTCTTATCTATCCACCTTTTGGATTTTTTTTTCTTGTTTTGCAATGGTTTGTCTGTATGTAGGGGTTGGTGATTGTTATAAATGAAATTATAATTACGCGTTTACTGGTTTGGTAAAGAAAGACTCTAATGCTCATAAATAAATAAATAAAAACAGCTGTAACAACATTCATTTCATCTAGTAAATCTGTTGCTTTCTGGCAAACTGTTATTCCTATCTCATAAAACATGAAAATATTTTTGCTCACCATTTTAATCAAAGGTATATGCTCATCACTTTTTTTACTATTTGACATGTGTTTATATATATATAACCATAGTTAACTTTTTACTTTGATTTATGTAATCATGTTTATGTTTATGAACATGTGTCAAGTATTAAGAAAAGTGATGATCATATACCTTGAGTTAAAGTGGTGAGTAAAAATGCTTTCATAAAATATTGGATAACTTTTTTAGAGTTTAATTCAGCCTTGAAATAGGGGTGTGTGAGATTCAATGCAATCTGCCTAAATCGACCAATTCAATCCAATTTAATTCCATTTTAATAAGTTTTGATTATTTAATGGATTGGATTGGATTTTTAATTTCTAAAATCAACATGATTGGATCGGATGACGAATTTACTTGTGAGAATCTAATCCAAGCTAATTAGTTTCATGCTTATTTTGCTCGTCTTGGTTTTTGTAATTGAAAATGTTAGAAAACATTTTAAATAATTTGATGGAGGTATGTTTGATATATTATAAAATCAAAACAATTTTATGTATCATTTTAGTTATAATATAAGTTGATTGGTAGCCTCATAATTACAGCCCAACATACATCCTCCCTCTCCCCCCTCGAGTACAAGACTTTCGAATAAAATAAAATACTCATAGCTTCAAAATTATACTTTGAAAGTCTTCATCCTTCAAAGAGGTATAAAGTGCTAAAACTATAATTGTATTAAAAGTAAGAATAAAAAAATTAAAGTAGAGGACAACAGTGGGCATGAGAAAGCATGAATCATTAGATTAAAAATTAATCATTATTTAGACTTTCGCAGCAAAAAGAAGTTCAACTTTAAACACTTTCATTTTTTTTATTTATTAAAAATGTATTTTCTTTAATTAAACAAAAGCAGCCGGTTGCACTCTCAATCAGCCAACCGCCCAAGGTGCCGCCCCTTTTCATGTTTATTGGTGCAGATTCATTCCTAAAGTACCCTCGAATTACTCCACTGATTTACGGATTTGCCACAACTAACAAGCTTGTGGTGGCAGTCTAGTAAATAATGTCGAAGCATATGAGCAATTCAATTGCCGGGCCAGCGTGTAAATTTCGGCGCCCGGGGAAATGGACACGTGGCCAAAATCAGCGGCTGAGCTACGAATATACACGCCCCAGTGACCCAGTCAATGCTCATGGGGATTATACATACATTTGGTTTGGAAAAGATTTTGAGCGAATTTCCATTAAAGGAAAATAATGAAACGCTAATTATATTCTTCTTGCACTTTACGTTGATTTTTCTGGTTGAAAAAAAATAGCTTTATTTTGTAATATTGTAAGCACAATAAGAAGGGAGAAGGGCAGTTTTAAAATAAAATAATAATATAAACTACTCTAATATATAAAATAAAACAAATTAAATTAAATTCGGTTGTAAAGAGCGAGCACCCTGTGTCCTGATCAACTAACATAACCTACTTGTACAAAAAGTTCATGCGGCTTAACAGAATTGTTGCTTGTTAATTTGGTTTTTCCCATCCCATCGCTCTATAGTAAATCCCACTTGGCAAACGGTGCTTCACAGCTGACGTGACACGGTGACACCTGTCACCCTCATACCTCAAATCCCAAGTAGCCGTTGATGGGCCCCACCCGAAATCCACAAAAAGGAGAGAAACCAATACGAAAAAAGAGCAATATGGGAGAGATTTGGAGCGTAATTCAAGGGCTTCCCGAAGAACCCCGACCTTAACGCCGTTAATCACGGGGTCAATCCCGTCAAGGTGAATAAAAGCAGAGTCTCGTGACCCCTCTCAGAAGCTGCCTTAACGTCCGTGTCCGTCGAAAACGGCGTGTTCACTATTCCTCATTGGGCCCCTCATTTCACGCGCAAGATTAAATACTTAGGTTATTAATAATTGGGTTTAAAGCAAAGAAAAATATAGTTGTTAAAAAAATTGATCATGTTTTATGGGGAGACGTGTACTGCTGCCTCCTGGCGCTGCTGCATGGGAAATTACTCAACCTCGACGCCAACGGCTAAATGAGCGCATGTTAGTTGAGCATATGTGGCGCTATCGTACGCCTTAGGAGAATATGGGCAAATGGGTAAAATGGGCCAATGGGGGCATTGAGGGATTTTCAATGGCTGGGGTGGGGGAACATGAGATGAGATCCCAATGTGCATCGAGGATGATGCTCCCTATCCCTGTGGTAAGATCTATACCCGTCCATCCAATCCACTACTCAAAATCATCAACATCAAAATCAGCCGTTGATATTTAACATCGGGGTTGTGGCCGGGTCAACAATGACGACAATTCAATTAAATCCAACGGCTATGTGATTGGAGAGCGTGGGCCATAGTCAACAATGACGACAATTCAATTAAATCCAACGGCTATGATTGTTGATTGGAGAGCGTGGGCCATAGAAGAGTCTGTTTCATAAGCAACAGACAAAACAGATGGGTTAGTGAAATTGATACACTGATAAGTGTTGTACAGTATTGTAATTTAGAGAAAACTGTTGTGTGAAGTGGAAGGAAGGGCAATATATATACGTATACCTCCGAGCAGGCCTAGTAGTAGTTGGAGAAGACTATAGTAGCAAATCATATCATGTACAGATATGGTTGGTTGGTCAAATGTTGGAGAAATTAGCTTCGTTGACCTTTTCTGCTCATATATATATATATATATATATCTAATTTGATGGAAAACGAACCGAACCAATGCCTCTCATATTCAAAACAACTTATTATTACCCTCCTCTAATCTCTTTAACTTTTACCTAATCTCTTTAACTTATATATAGATTCCTTTTTGTCGTCATTAATTATGATCAAATTTGTGGTTGGTAGAATGCATAAATTTACCCCATCATGAATGCTACTTCCATCCCTTTAAGTTTATAAATTATAAATTAAATTAATCCGGGTGGCAGAACAGAAAATCGTCATAATTCCAACTGCTACGGGCGTAATGGTCATTTAACAACTTGCATAAGTTTTTTTTTTGGTACCAGAAGTTTCAGTTCGTTGCCTCCCCAAAATAAAATAGAAAAAAACAATAATTTAATCTCCTGGGGATGTTTGCCTGCCGTCGAAGAAATCGAGCCCTTTTCTCTCTCTGTGACTTTGATTTGTCTGTGCCTTTTGATTAGG